TTCGATGGCGTGCAACACCGACTCGTGTGCACGGCGAATGGATGTGACCTCTGCTGATTCCCAATCTCTCAAGATACTCGGGATGAGTTTTCCAGATCGGGCGCCCAGCCATGGGCCAGTTCTCTTCTACGCGCAGCGCGAAAACAGCCTCGACACTGCGGGTTCGAGGCTGCCGTTAAGTAGTGTATGTAAGCTGGCGGTGGTTGAAGAAGAGAGAAGGGCAGAAAACTCGGATGTCCGAAGACGTTCGCCGGGGGATTTCGCCGCTAGCCGTGTCGGGCCTAGCGTCTGGAATGTCCAATCTGGCCGCATGGGCGCCATCATTCAACGACGCAGCGCACCGTCAAGGCAAGGCAAGGCAAGCTGTCGGGAAACGTCGCATTCTTTGAGCTTTGGCTGCAGCCTACACCCACATCCAGTCTCCACCCCTCTACTTAGTCTCTCGCTGGGCCTCTCGCAACCTCGACGCTCAAACCCCAACCTTTCGCTGCTCCCTCCCCGCCATTTCGCACTGTGGGCGCCTCGGTCCCACCGCAAGCTCGCGCATCCCCTCCAGACCACACCCGATCACATTTCGCCATGGACTACGAGGGGCTGAAGGAGCAGTGGAGTGAGATTGAGGACCGGGATGGAGTCCGCCTCAGTTGGAACACGTTTCCAAGCTCGCGCATGGTACGCTTCGCCGGGGACATGTCTTGAGAACGCGGGAATGCTAACGTGGCCCAGGAAGCATCGCGGCTCGTTGGTACGAACCTCCAGGGTCTCGCCGAATCTCACTGTGCTAATATACGTCAGTTCCCATTGGCGCCTTGTATACTCCGTTGAAGGAGAAGACGGACACACCCCTGCTTCAATATGAGCCCGTTTCTTGCAAGGCTCCTTGTCGGGCGGTCCTCAACCCATATTGGTACGCGCTCGACTCTGCCTGCCAGTCGTTCGCTGCTGACATACATGCAGTCAACTCGACACGCGTGCCAAGCTTTGGATATGTCCCTTCTGCCTCCAGCGAAACGGCCTTCCCGCACATTACAATGACATCTCGCAAGATCAAATCCCCCCGGAGTACCATCCGAGTAGCACCACTATCGAGTACCGGCTCAAGAGGCCTGCGCCCTCTCCTCCCATTTTCCTGTTCGTTGTAGATACCTGCCAGGAGGAGGACAGCTTGAAGGCACTCAAGGACTCAATCATCATGAGCTTGAGCCTGCTCCCACCGTACGCCTTGGTTGGATTGATCACGTTCGGAACTATGGTGGGTCCTACTTTTTGCTGAAGATTATGCAGCGAGCTGACGCTGAGCAGGCGCAAGTCCACGAGCTTGGTTACACCGAATGCGCCAAATCCTACGTTTTCAGGGGCAGCAAGGACTACACATCCAAGCAGGTTCAGGAGATGCTTGGGCTCGGTCAACTAGGCCCACGACCAAACATGCAACAGCAGCCCGGACGACCACCAATGCCCACCGGTGCCGGTGCTCGATTCCTTCTCCCCGTGTCTGTCTGCGAATTCCAATTGACCAACGCCCTTGAGCAGCTTCAGAGGGACCCCTGGCCGGTCGCCAATGATAAGCGTGCTTTGAGGTGCACCGGTGTTGCCCTTAGCGTTGCCGTTGGATTGCTGGAGACGCAGTATGTCAATATGGGTGGGAGGATCATGCTCTTCAGTGGTGGCCCTGCAACAGAGGGACCTGGTATGGTCGTAGGCCCCGAGCTACGAGAGCCTATCCGATCGCATCACGACATCGACAGAGATAACATCAAGTACTATAAGAAGGCATTAAAGGTATGTGCGATCGTGGTGCAAATATACAAAATGATACTGACAGCGTCAGTTCTACGACAATCTCGCCAAACGGGTCTCGCACAATGGACACATTGTCGATATTTTCGCTGGTTGTCTTGATCAAGTTGGCTTGCTTGAAATGAAGGGGCTCGCCAATTCGACAGGTGGTCATATGATCTTGACCGACAGCTTCACCTCGTCCATGTACAAGCAGTCCTTCGCCCGGGTTTTCAACAAGGACGCCGACGATAATCTCCTCATGGGGTTCAACGCCACCCTGGAAGTTCTGACGACCAAGGAACTGAAGGTTACCGGTTTGATCGGACATGCCGTATCCATGAACAAAAAGTCCGGATCAGTCGGCGAAACGGAATGCGGCATTGGCAATACCTGCTCTTGGAAGATGTGCGGTATCGATCCGGAGGCCTCTTACGGTATTTATTTCGAGATTGCCAGCCAAGGGGGACCAAACCAGCTTCAACAAGGTCCACAGCAAGGGATGATGCAATTTCTGACCTACTACCAACATTCCGCCGGTCAATTCCATTTGAGAGTCACTACCATTGCGCGCAACCTGAGCGGTCCTTCAGGCGACCCTGCCATTGCCCAATCTTTCGATCAAGAATCAGCGGCCGTTCTTATGTCCAGAATCGCCGTGTTCAAGGCAGAGGTAGACGATGGACCAGATGTGCTACGTTGGGTTGATCGAATGCTCATCCGGCTGTGCTCACGCTTCGCCGAATACCGCAAAGATGATCCCTCTTCCTTTAGGTTTGTGCCACGTCGCTCCCTTTTCACTTCCGCTAATTTGAACAGACTCGAAAAGAATTTCACTCTATATCCTCAATTCATGTTCCACCTACGCCGATCGCAGTTCCTGCAAGTCTTCAACAACTCCCCCGATGAGACCGCCTTCTATCGACACGTTCTCAACCACGAGGACGTCAGCAATTCCCTGATCATGATTCAGCCTACTCTAGATAGCTATGGATTTGATCATGAAGGCAGCCAACCTGTCCTTCTCGATTCAACCTCGATTCAGTCCGAAACAGTCCTTCTGCTCGATACCTTCTTCCACATTCTCATCTTCCACGGCGAGACAATGGCGGAGTGGCGTAAAGCCGGTTATCAGGACCAAGAAGGCTACGACAGCTTCAGGACACTGCTTGAGGCACCGAAGGAGGATGCCAAAGATTTGATCCAGGACCGATTCCCGCTGCCACGTTTCATCGTCTGCGATGCAGGTGGCTCGCAAGCTCGTTTCCTACTCTCCAAGCTCAACCCGTCCACAACGCATACCACAGGCTCCTATGGGGGTGTTGCTCAGACCGCGCAGACAATTTTCACCGATGATGTCAGTTTACAGACCTTTATGGATCATTTGATGAAACTTGCTGTTTCCGGCACTGGTTAAGCAGGGTAACGGGTTGAGAGCATTTCCCAACCCCCAGGTTCTGTTGGATCGGCCTCATTCGGCAATGGTGTAAGTGTGTTGGTAGGCTTGAGGCATAGTCAATATGAGGGAAGACCACCAGCGGATAGAGGACGGGCTGGTCATTGCAATAATCATTTCTTGACGCCAGCCACGGCCACTGTGAGATTAGCCATGAACATCTTTCTATTACCACTTGCTTGTTCACTCTCGCATCTATAATCTGCTTCCGTCCCTTTTCTTAGCGCCAGTCCCTTTTACGAACTCCTCCTTCAGCATTTTTCCTGTTCCAGGGATCTCGAATTCATTACAGGGCAGCGTTACTGCTATGAAGCGAGCGGCCTCAGTCTGAGAGCCGTTGATCCACTTATGCATTGTTCCGCGCTGAATAACATGGTCCTAAGTCACCCATTAGCCAAGACATTGAAAGTAAGCCATGGTAGGTAATACATACACCAGGATTCAAATGCAATATTTCCCCACCATCTAGCTCCATCTTTATAGTGCCTAATACACAGATACTAAAATCGATGCTGACCGTCCTGTGCATCTGACTCTCGCCGCCGGGTCCAATGTCCACAACAACGAGATTCGCACCTGAGCCAGTGGGAATCACGATGTCGTGGCTTTTGTGCGACGTTGGACCCGTGCTAGATAGGTACGCGGCTATGTCGGCGTCGGCGGCGAGATTCGCGGGAACGGAGGAGGTAGCGTAGGATCGCGCTGCCCCGCCGACGCCGGGACGGCCGAGGTAGAGTTGCGCGGGCGAGGAGTGCACGATGGATTGCCCGGTGAAGTTGTGTGTGCAGATGTAGCGTTTAGAGGGTGGGAGAGATGTCACGGAAGAGGTCCAGGGGCTGGGTTTGGACTTTTTGTTGTCGGCCATTTTGAGGGAGGGTTTGAGAGGGAGTGGAGAGGGAATGGAGAGGGAATGGAGAGGGGTTTAGATCTTGGAAATGTAATATACTCGCACGACAAGATAAGTAGGCGGTCGTTCGCTCTCACATGTCTGGAGTCTGGGGTCCGGGGAAGTGCCGCTAAGCTTGCGTTTGAGCTCCGTTTGTATCTTCCAAGGCCGATGGGGTACGCCTGATTCAGGCAATATGCGGTCGTGATGTGCCACAGGCTGGAAATAGAAGGGGCTGGCTTTCCCAATGGGTATACATTTCCGCTCAGCTCCACGATTTGTCGCAAATTGGACAAGACAACATTGATTTGAACATACGGTCTTGGGGCCTATTCGACGGTCAATGCGGTACGAGCCCTCGTCCTGGACTTGTTTGCGAAGCTATGGATTGCGGGGTGAGGTTAGAGCTTGAGGTTCAATGGTGACCTTAGTAATCGAGTCAGCTAGTCAGCAAGTAACTGGTGACTGGTGATATATAATCTGGTATTGTAACGGCACGGTCCTCCTATACCTTTTATTACTCCTTCATTTGTAGTTTGCATTCACTTCACCTGGTTTTTAGCGTAGATCTCCACAGCCAGATAGCATCGAGGGTGTGAACGCTAGCCACTTGCTCTCAGGTGCTCACCATTTGTTCTCTTATCCGTATCTCTACTGCTCATGTGACCATCAAGATCGTATGCTCCTTTGTGTGAATGCAAGGGAGACGTGTTCACAAACAACAGCCGGAATATCTAGGTAAACGGCTTGAAAGAAAGCAGTGGTCAGTCTCTGCGAACAAACCCCGGTCCCCTAGATCCAGGATTGCCGTAGACTTTTCTTATAATTCTTACCCATATAGTTCAAGAAGATTTGAAGTCGTTCAATGATTCAAGTACTGGGCCAGTAGCTCAGTGGTAGAGCGTGGGACTGCAGCAAATTCTGTAGGATATCTTAAGGTCTCCAGTTCGATTCTGGATTGGCCCTTTCTTTTTTTCCTTTTTAGCCTGCTTCTCGATGCAATCAATGGGGGACAAACGATGTGTGAGGTTGATAGAATCTCGTTCACATCCACCATTTGAATGAAGGATGGCCCAAGCTCGGACCTGCAAACCAAGCAAAACCCATTGCCAAGCATGAGCAATTGATCTTTCGACCACCATTAATCCAGTGCGAACTCCCAACCTTCCAATTGTAAACTGGATTTTCGTTATTTTTTGCGAAATCATGCCGCCTCCACGACTGAGTGCCGCCCTCCTGCGCGCCCGCCCACAACCAGCCCTCCAATGCCTACGACGAATAGCTCCCCTCCGCCATGCCTCCACCGAACCCGCATCACCTCAACCCACGGCTCTACCCTGGAAGACACCGCACAGCATAACATCATGGCCTCCAGAACCCCTCATACCTCCGCCAAAGGAAGGCGAGCTTCTCATGGAGCGAAAACCAAACCGCGAACTCCCACCGTACGCATCCCCGTCCTTCCATCCCCCCTCCCAGCAAAACTATGAACATAAACACGAACCCACAACCCGAACCATACTAAAAATTCCTCTCTACAACCTCACAGTCTCCCACCATTCATACCTAAGCAAGTGCAGCGCACATTCCCGATCTTCGTCCTCGTCCTCAGCATCTCTATGTTCGCCTTCTTCAACTACCAGAAACAAGAGTCGTCGGTCGTGACTTCAACACTGTACGCGCTGCGCACGAATCCGCTCGTGCGCGCCGAACTAGGCGACGAAATCTACTTCGCGAGCAAGTATCCGTGGATACGGGGTGAGATCAATCAGGTGCATGGCAGGATTAATATCAATTTCTGGGTGAAAGGGACCAGGAGACAGGGCAGGGTGGTACTGAGGTGTAAGAGGAGGGGCAGGGGCGGTTATGTGAGTTACGAAATGATGAAGAGGGGTTAGGGGCTTGGGCATATGCTGACTTGTGATAGTATGTGACGCAGGAGTGGAGTCTGACGATGGATGATGGGAGGGTTTTGCAGTTGTATGATCCGGATGGGAATGCGGTCGATCCGTTCCAGAATCCAATTGGCGATGATGATTAGAGATGGTAGGACTGCACCTGGCGGAGTGGGGGACAGTGGGGGCCTTTCACGGGCACGACACCTTTGACGGGATCGCCTATAGATGAAAGCTGCGTCGCTGAAGGCCGGGCCTGGGTAGTTTGGAACGTGGGCTTGACTCTCAAGTGCTCAACATGTCAAGATGAAAATTTATATGTACAAAATCACAAGATCACACAATATCAAAGACTCATCATGAAAGTATTCTGTTTTGAACTGAAGTGGTATCTGGTCGCACAGGATGGCGTGATTTTGCATCCCAATATCAGGATATGATCGGTAGGTCTGTACATACAGCTCCGTCAACCGTCAACGCCAAACCCACCGAAAGCAATGAGCCTCCAAGGTTTTCCAGTGTTGCGCCGTGAACGCCCTAATGTATCCTGCCATTGCCAGCGAATGTTTCCATCTGAAGCAGCCATACGCGGTAATAAAGAGTAGAAGTTAAACAATGGGAGGAGAGTGGTATCATAATCGTAAATCTCGGTCTTGGTCTTGCCGGCCTCGTGCCAGCCACGGTTGCTCCACCGTCTCTCTCTTAGATGACATTTGCGCCATCGCCCTCAGGTCGTCGCAGACTGGGGTGGTGTGCCAGATTCGGCTTGACGAGGTGCGCGAATTGAGGGTTGACGTTCAGAGGGGCGGAGATCTCGAGCGGCATCCGCGGCACAGAGCTCTCCCTCTTCTTCTTCATTGGCTTCTTGGTCTCGCCGGATGTCGACCGGGAGTACGTAGAGGATGATCTTGAATGGCCGAACACGCGGAGCGGCGAAGAGCTGTGGTAGGATGGGAGGATTGATTGACGCGCGTTTCGGAGAGTGCGGACGGGACTGAAGTTGAACTGGGAGAAGCGAGACTCCTTTTGCGGGGAGGCGAGATGTTGGGGAGAGCCCATGTTGACTGGTGGGGTTCCCATGCGCATCGGGGGTGTTCCGGTTCGGAAAGAGCTAGCACCAGTATGGTGGGTAGTGACGCTCATGGCCTTGAGATCGGATTCAATGTCGCCGTGCTCGGAGAGCGTGATGGCGCCGTGGGAACGCACGCGGCGAGCAGTGATGTGACGGGACTTGTCGCGGAAAACAAAGCTCTATGAAACGGTTAGTTGGGATATGGCGAGTTTGGAAAGTTAAGGTAACTTACGGCGACGACATTGAAGCATCCGATGACAATGGCGAGTATTCCTGAGGCGAGAAGTAGTCGCCAAAACGGTAGACCAAGCGACTTCTGGCTCGTCGCCTCCTTGTTCATGTTTCCGAGCAGATTCAGACCCAGGATCTCCATCGCGGTACCCAAGGCGACAAACCCATGGCTAGGGCTGAGCAGGGGCCAGTTTCTCGCGAAATAGCCGCGAAAGAGGGAGCATTCGGATACGATGAGGAACACTGCTAGACTGTTAGATCGACCGATGTTTCACACAACGTTTCGTCGCTTAACGGAGCCTTACTGCCTGCAATTCCGGTAATGACATGGCTTGTGGCGTCGAAGAAGAAGAACTGGAAGCTATCAGTATTTGCCGCAGAAGCAGGTAAGAAGTTCGCGCACCTTCGAGACGACGAAGGTCTTAACCAGCATGACGACGCTGCTCGCGACTACCGACATCAGGGTGACGATGTTCAGGGCACGGATGACATTGAGGATTATGTAGCCTGGACCGGCCAGATGTTCTGCTGAAAGAAGGGCCATCTCTGAGGCGTCGAGATGACAGTAGAAATTATGGCTGAAGAAGCAGGTGGTTGAGGTTTTGGGGGAAGCTGGCCGGCAGTCGTAGAAAGAGGGCGCGTCGAGCGGTGGAGTATAGTTGGGTGGTTCAAGATAAGTACAGCAAAGAAAGGTAGGTTGTCGTTGAGGAAGAGGTCCTGCGCCGTGAGGCAGGAGAATTCTTCTCGTCGACAATAGTCTGAATAGCAGAAGTGAGGGCGAGAGAGCGACAATAGGAAAACAGAAGAAGAGGTCTGAAAACTGGGAGAGGGAGGAAAGGTATGAATACCACACGGACAGGGTTAGCTTTATTCAATTAGCATTGTCCCGAGCGTCACAATAGCGAGAATAAGGAACATCGGGCTGGTCACTTCATAACTTTTGAGATTGAGTGGCCCAAATTTCACCTCCTCCACTGCACCCAGCTGTGCTACCGCAGACGGTGAAACACGGCTAGCCCCTCGATCCAGCCTAGCACATCGATAGGAAGCTGAAGAGCGGGGAGACCATCGAGTGGATCTGCTTTTTTGCAAGGCGGCCCTTCCAGGCCAATATTGATGACCTCCCAGGTTAGGCATGCTTGAAAGTGAGGCAAGTTTGGACGTCGAGAAGTGAACGCGAAACGATTGGGGGAGACAGGCCCCAGCGCGGTCGCTCCCGCGGTCGCGCCATGTTTCAGAATCCTAAAACAGACTGATCGTCGGATTGCTCGGGCGGCAAGAATCGTCCAGGCTTCAAATCGTTTACACTCTTCTTTCACTGCGACGACGGCCTTGGTACGGGGTGCTGCGCTCGAGCACACGGGCGCGTGGGAATGGGATCGCGAAGGTGAATACAGCGCGCGTGGTGGCGGCGAGATGGCGCCCGTCTCGTTAGCCAGCGCCTTTGGACGTTATTTTCCCCCCTCACGAGGCGTCCCCACCAATCCTCCATTAATCTCAAGTATGGAGCGGCAGAGTAACCTCATCTTTCGAGCAGAAAGTTTGTTGAAATTGAACCGCTCTCTCGGAAGACGAACATCGGCTGATGCCTCAAGGCCCTCAGGACCCAACAACAATCGCGACATCAGGCAGCGTTCGTATCGCCTGCGGAGTACTCTGTTCCAAAGTCTCGTGCAAAGGCTTGAGACCGCCATGGTGGAGACGACAGCCCTATCAAACTCTCGAGCATGGCCTCAGGACCGTCCACGTCAACGTTTTTTATGCCAAGCCTACCCCAGGCGATGAAAAGACGTATGCGACCGCATCAGTAGCCCGAATTCTGACCACAAGAGTCTGCTTCGGATATGCCTGATAAAGTATCCGGACACGTATTCTCTCGAGCAAGGCTCTTGCCGCCCTCGTCTATGCCTCTGCTACGGAGTCGACAGCAAGAATGAATAAAAAGCAAAACCACCTCCACTTTAAAGGCATGCTTTCCTCATCCCGATAGGTGCTTTTCTCCCGTGAATACTTTTGGCTCTCCACTTTCCGTATTGTTCCTTTGATGCTTGCTTTGTATATTGAACATGGTAGTTCTGTGGTACAGTATTGCTTCGGAACACCGGGTAGGTATCGAGAGCCCCGGTCCTCTTTTCCATAATTTGAATTTTGAAATCCGTGCAACGAGTCACGAAGTCATACGTATCTGTCTGTGTTGAGAACCTGCAACCGAGCATCCCAAGATCGGATTGTGGACAGCGTTCACCAGTCGCAGGGTACCTACGCTTTTGAACATGCAGCTGCATCTTAGGTCTTGACTGAGGCTTAATCGTTGTTTCAAAGCCAACATGGCTCCCGGAGATTTCGCAGAGATATGCAGTGATCATGGGGTATTGATATTGGCTAGCAATTGGCTAGCGATCAAACGCAGAGGACTACAAGATAAGGTAGGCAGACACGGTACGATTGGTCGTCACGTGATGTCGTCCGAAGTGGGCTTCGGTACCGGTGATCATCCAACTCGCAAAAGCGAAAACATATGTTGCAAACCGGACATATCATTCCAAGAGCTGAGAGTGTCTGGTGATGAGGTGAAGAGGATATGTTCACATGGCACTTGTTGTGTGGCCAACTGTTGGCCAACGCCGCTTCTGGAACCACCGGGCCCGCGCCAAACTGGCACGCTTATTTATTTTTATCTCCAGGGCTTGACCGCTGACTTCCCGAACTTCCTCAACTTCGACCCGACCGCATTCGCGCTCACGAGAAAATAACAAATCGGACCCGCT